AATGTTCAGATTTTTCTCTGAGCCTATTCCTTAAGAAAAAAACTCTACAAGCCTCTGGTTTCCTGCTCTAATTCAACAGATGTTGAACACCTGCTTTGTCTGTCCCTGAGGTCACAACGGGGACAAAGATAGATATTGAGAGGAAGTGAGATTGGGGGTGGGTGGGTAGGTATGGGGTGGGAGCAGCTGAGGAGGGGGAAGAGAGGCAGGTCGGTAGGTAGTTCAGGATTCTGCCCTAGAAGGGTGCTGGGAGTGGGCCTGAGGACTGGACTCGTTAGGAGGGATGAATGAAGGAGATGTAGGGAAGCATTCCAGTGGTGAATGAAGAGTCTGGGTCTGGCTGTAGTTGAGGCCCTGAGGGTGCTAAGGAGCCTTTGCTGGGGGGAAGGGAGTATCTTAGACACCCCCTGGCTAGCATCTTTGTGTCACTCAGATACATCTGTCCCAGTTCCCGCCCACACTGCTTGTGCTGCCGTTCAGGATGATGCCCCCAGAGGGCGCTCCATTTCCCCTGGCACACACTGACCCTTGAGCCCCAGCCACCAGGATCTCTGCTGTCCAGAGTCCTGAAGAACTGCAGCTCTTTAGGGAATATTTCTCAGGCTCTGGACACATTTGCAAACGTTGCTCATCCAAAAAGGCTGCATTCATTCTCACTGAACCTACAAATAATGATTCTGCTCTTTTCACCGCACCTCAGTACAACTGAGTCTCTGCCGGGGGAGAGCATATCAAAGCAAACACTAAGTCACCACAACCATCCGCTTCCCTCACTGCAAACCCACCTTTCCTGAAATTTAAAACACCTCAATATCTCTCACAGTGTCATTCTCAAATAAATGACTTCTACCCAGGCACACCAAACATGCGATGTCCTCATAAGAAAATGTTCCTGTGGTGTCTCAGCCTGTTACGGCTGCTATACTAGACATACCAAATGTAAGACCTGAAACCATAAAACTCTTAGAAGAAAACATAGGCAGTGTGCTCTTTGACACTGGTCTTCACAACATCTTTTTGTCTCCTCAGGCAAGGGAGACAAAAGCAAAAATAAATAAATGGAACTACAAAAAATTAAAAAGCTTTTGCACAGTGAAGGAAACCATCAACGAAACAAAAACACAGCCTACTAAATGGGAGAAAATATTTGCAAACAGTATATCTGATAAGGTGTTAATATTCAAAATATACAAAACACTCATGCAACCCAACATCAAAAACACCAAACAACCTGACTAAAAATGGGCAGGGGACCTGAATAGACATTTTTCCAAAGAAGACAAACAGATGGCCAACAGACACAAGAAAAGATGCTCAATATCGCTAATCTTCAGAGAAATGCACATCAAAACCACAATGAGATACCACCTCACACCTGTCAGAATGGCTATGATAAAAAAGACAACAAACAACAAGTGTCGGCGAGAATGTGGATAAAAGGGAACCCTCGTGCACCTTTGGTGGGATTGTAAATTGGTGCAGCCACTATGGAAAACGGTACAGAGGTTCCTCAAAAAATTTAAAATAGAATTGCCATATGATCCAGCAATTTCACTTTTGGGTATTTACTCAAAGAAAACAAAAACACTAATTTGAAAAGATATATGGGGGCTTCCCTGGTGGCGCAGTGGCTGAGAACCCGCCTGCCAACACAGGGACACAGGTTCGAGCCCTGGTCTGGGAAGATCGCACATGCCACAGAGCAACTAAGTCTATGCACCACAACTACTGAGCCTGTGCTCTAGAGCCCGCGAGCCACAGCTACTGAGCCCACGCACCACAACTACCGTAGCCTGCGCACCTGGAGCCCGTGCTCCGCAACAAGAGAAGCCACCGCAATGAGAAGCCCGCGCACCGCAACGAAGAGTAGCCCCCGCTCGCCACAACCAGAGAAAGCCCGTGCACAGCAACGAAGACCCAACGCAGCCAAAAATAAAAAAAAATAAATAAATACATTTATATATATATAAAAGGGGGGGCTTCCCGGGTGGCGGAGTGGTTGAGAGTCCAACTGCCGATGCAGGGGACACGGATTCGTGCCCCGGTCCGGGAGGATCCCACATGCCGCGGAGCGGCTGGGCCCGTGAGCCATGGCTGCTGAGCCTGCGCGTCCAGAGCCTGTGCTCCGCAACGGGAGAGGCCACAACAGTGAGAGGCCCGTGTACCGCAAAAAAAAACACAAAAAACAGAAAACAAAAGGTATATGCACACCAATGTTCACTGCAGCATTATTTACAATAGTCAAGATATGAAATCAACCTAATTGTCCATGATAGATGAATGAATATATAATATATATGATATTACTCAGACAATAAAAAATGAAATTTGCCATTTTTGACAACATGGATGAATTTAGAGAGTATTATGCTAAGTGAAATAAGTCAGACAGAGAGACAAATACCATATGATCTCATACATGGAATCTAAAAAAAAGAACGGGGCTTCCCTGGTGGCGCAGTGGTTGAGAGTCCGCCTGCCGATGCAGGGGACACGGGTTCATGCCCCGGTCTGGGAGGATCCCACATGCTGCAGAGTGGCTGGGCCCGTGTGCCACGGCCGCTGAGCCTGCGCATCCGGAGCCTGTGCTCCGCAACGGGAGAGGCCACAACAGTGAGAGGCCCGCGTACCGCAAAAAATAAAAGAATAAAAAAATATTTAAAAATAAATTTAAAAAAGAACGCATACAAACAAAACAAAATGAAAACAGACCCACAGATATAGAGAACAAATGGGTGGTTGCCAGTGGGGAGGGGGTGGTGGGCAAAAGAGGTGAAGGGGATTAAGGAGTGTAAATCACCAGTTATAAAATAAATAAGCCATAGGGAAGTAATATACAGCAGAAGGAATAATGGTCAATGATATTTTAATAGCTTTGTGTTGGGACGAATGGTTACTAGACTTATCATGGTGATCAGTTCATAACGTATACAAATGTCAGCTCACCATGTAGTGCACCTGACACTAACACAGCATTGTACACCAACACTACTTCAATAAAAATCAAAGAACCTTTAAAATATTGACCCAACGTACAAATAACTACCGTCAAGAAAAAGACCAGTATTATTTTTTTTTTTTGCGGTACGCAGGCCTCTCACTGTTGTGGCCTCTCCCGCTGCGGAGCACAGGCTCTGGACGCGCAGGCTCAGCGGCCATGGCTCACGGGCCCAGCCGCTCCACTTCTCGAATCACTTCTCGAGATCTTCCCGGACCGGGGCACGAACCCGTGTCCCCTGCATCGGCAGGCAGACTCTCAACCACTGCGCCACCAGGGAAGCCCAAGACCAGTATTATTTAAAGAAAGACAAGACCAAGTCATCAGCCACAAAAAATTGACAGCGTTCAGCAATCAGTGAAACATTACTAGACACATAAAGAAGCAGAAACATGTGACACTCGGTAAGAGAAAAATCATTCAATGGAATCAGGCCTAGACATGACAGAGGAGACAGACCTAGCAGACAAAAACATTAAAACATTGATTACAAACATTATCCATATACTCAAGGATGTAAAGGAAAACATTAACATAATAAAAGAAGAAACGTGAGATTAAAAACCAAGGAAATTAGCTTCTAGAGAAGAAAATAAATTATCTGAAGTGAGAATTTCACTGAATGAGACTAATCAGATTTAATATTGTGGAAGAAGAATCAGTAAACTTGAACATGTAGCATCAGATCCTATTCAAACTGAAGAATATAGAGAAAAAAGGTTGGAAATGGTGAACAGATGCTCAGAGCTGATAATGAGATAATACTGGGCAATATCACATATGTAAAATTGGAGACCCAGAGGGGAATAGAAAAAAAATATATATATATATATAAACATTGGCTTCAATTTTTATAAATTTGATCACTTCTATAAAATTTCAGATTCAAGATACTCAACACCCTCCAAGTAGGATAATCTCTGTCTCTCTCTCTGTCTCTCTCTCTCTGTCACACACACACATTTACACGCCAAGGCACATATTATTCGATTATTAAAACCCAGTGAAAAAGAGAAAATATTAAAACCAGCTACAGAAAAATATAAACTACTAAGAAAGAAAGATGAAAATAAGGCAAAGCTAGGCAAGCCAAAAGAATTTAAACAACAGAACGGGGAAAAGTTTAACCTAGAATTCCTAATCCAACAAAAATATCCTTCCAAAGCTAATGTACATGAAAACTTTTCCAGACAAACAGTGGCTGAGAGAACATCACCAGCATACCTACACTACAAAAATATATGAAAAGATCTTCAGGTAAAAGGAAAATGATACTCTAGAGAAACTATACTGTCATCTTAAATCAGAAATAAATCTGAGAAAAGAGGCAGCGTTATCTTAATGCAAAAGGACAGCTTTATTGTTTGCAAGGTTTGCAAACCAGGGATGAGAAGCCTTTGGCTGTAACCAAAAGTACGTTCCTTGGAGGTGAAGGGATGAGGGGTTTTTGAAAGCACAAGCCAAAGAAGCCACAGTTGGGAGACTTATAAAAGGGGACTGGATGGCCCTTGCAGCCTGACAAGTCACTGCAGCCTGACCAGAAGTTTCCAATGATGGCTGTCATTGGAGCATCTCCTTAGGGGTTTTTCGGGTAGGACCCTTAGCACAATCAGAAGTCCTTATAGTTTTCGTTCGTGGTTTTTCTAAGAACTCAGAGTACGTGACTGAACCCTAGGTCTGTCATGATTGCCTGGCTCCATTTTATTGGGGGTACCTGTTAGCCACACCAGGTCCATTTTCTAAATATGTTCTTTCCACAGGGAATTCCTCTTATTTTTACTTTTCCTTAGGGGATTTTATTTTTACAAGAAAGGGATGAAGAGCAGTTGAAATGGTTCATATGTGGATAAATATAAAATAATTTTTCTAATTAAAAAAATCTCTTTAAAATTAACTTTAAAAAATACTATATCATGGGATTTATAACAATATATTATGGGTCACGCTATGGGCGTATCAAAACCATGCTAAGGTATAAGCACAGAGAAGAAAACACGTTACATGGAGCATAGTTCAATTTAATAATAAAAATACCTATTTCCTCCTTGCCCTCACAACCACTCATGTAGAACTATCAGGAAGAAACCTGGAGGCCAGATGTGAAGAGATATTATTTCTGGAAAGGAAGCAGGTTCAAGTCATCCGGGACCTCCTTGTTCATAGACCTCTGAAGCACCACTGTGAAGAAGGGAACTCAGTCACACCTCTCAACCCTTGTGAGTTTCTGCACCTGTAAAGGAAACACAGCTCTGAAACAAGGGACCAGTTTCGTGGAAGGTCTGCTCTGGAAAGGACAAGATGGAGGTGTCCCCAAATCAGGGACACCTTAAGAAGGGCTTCTCACCTGGTATAGTAGATCCAGGTGAGGCCATAGGTGAGAAGGAAACCAGCCCCCATCAGGGCCCCCCTGAGCAACGTGAGGACCAGGGGCCAGGAGCCCTCTCTCTGCTCCCCAGAGACCTGGGGGAAGGAAGAGGAGACACCTGGAGGACGAAAAGAGAGAGGAAGGTGGATGATAGGTGTAAGTCCACACCATTATTTTTATTTTGGTCACGCTGCTTGCCATATGGGATTTTAGTTCTGCGACCAGGGATCAAACCCACGTCCTCTGCATTGGAAGCATGGAGTCTTAACCACTGGACCACCAGGGAAGTCCCTGTAAGTCCACACCTTAACCCTGCTTTCCACCCTAGCTCAGAACCCAGGCATCCTTGCTTATACTCACCCTGTACAACTAGGTTCAGGGAGACACGGAGGGAGCCCCTCGGGTGCTGAGCTTGGCAGGTTAATTCTCCTCTATCCCCTAAGACCACGTGGGGCAGCTCCAGGACCCCAGGATCCAAAGGCTGTGAGGGGCTCACTGTCAGGCACCCACGGGCCCAGCTTATCCTGGTGGGTGGGTTGCTGTCGACAACACAGACCAGGCGCAGGGACTGGCCCTCCACGACTCGAAGGGAGGTGGCATTGCCCAGGATCTCTGGGACTAGAGAGACAGAGACAGCTAGAAGGGCAAGGCTGAGAGGCCCTTCTCTCCCTCTGTCCTCCCAGACACAGGAACAGCGGCTCTGAGACAAGCACTGCAGGCAAGGCCAAGTACGGGGGGCAGTCTATGAGGTGAGGCGGGGGAAGGAGAGGCAACTTGCTGATCCCAGGACAGGGGGCTGTGGACGCTTGAGGAAGAGTCGGCCATATCTAGGCCAGGGAGAGAACATCCCAGGAGGTGGCCCTTGATGTGTGAAACTGTGCAGGGCACTGACATACGTGGGTCTGGCCACTTGGACGCCTGCACACAGGTGATGAGAGCCCCAGGGAGCCACGGGAGGGTTCTGAGCAAGAAAGTCATAGGGTCAGATCTGGGGCATGTAGAGATCCCTCTGGGGTCCCAATTCTTGCAGGCTGGACAGGGCCAAGACTAGAGGCTGACAGGCCAGAGGGGAGGCTGGTCCAGATCCAGGCCAGAGAGAGGATGGAGGCCTGAGTTGGAGCTGCAGTCACGGGGATGGATGAGGGGGCTGACGTGAATCATTCTCAGAAAGTCAACGTCGCAAAACTCACTGAGTCCCGGGGACGATTGGGTGAGACACGGAGCCTAAAGGAATTGCTGAGATTCAGGCTCGGGTTACTCATATCGGAGGGTCCCTTGCAGGGGGAGTGGAGGGCACTCAGGACAGAGGTTTGGGAGAGTCTTCAGGGCAGAGGTAGGATTGGAAACCCCGGAGTAGATGAGCTTCCCCTTGGAATCCTGCAGAACCCAGCTTGGGAACTCAGTCTCCTTGCGGGAGAGACGGAGACAGGGAGGAGGCAGGGAATCCGCGAAAGGATGTCCTGGGAAAGTGAGGAGGGAGAAGAGGTGGGAATGGAGGGGGCAAGCAGAGGTGACAGTGAGTTGTCACAAGGAATCCACAGTGGCCCTAAAGTGAGTCCTGCCAGGGGACAGGGTTGGGGGGCAGAGGGCACGTAGGAGCAGAGAGGGGATGAGTGATGGGCTTGATTCTGTCCATCTTCACAACATCCCTGCATCTGACCTCCATTCCACCCAGATACTTTTCTCCCACCTGTGCTATTTTCCTGGAAGACAAGAATGTCCAGGTTCTGTGGAGCATCTGGAACAGAAAGAAATAAATGTCCTCCTGCAGTATGATGAGGTGTCATGAGTAACATGACACCATGGGGGGGGGTCTCAGCATTCTCCTCGTTCTCCTCCCAGCCTGCCTCCAAGAAGAGTCCCCAAGTATCCCACCCAGGCCTCCCGTCCCCAACGCCCTCCGCCCTCAGGGCCCCGGCGTCCTGGCCCCGCGCTCACAGGACACGTTGAGCCTGATGGTTCTGTCTGCGCTCACGCCAGCTCCGGGGAAGGTCACTCGACAGGTGAGGTTGGTGCCATGGTCCTGGGGCCCCAGGGTGAGGGTGAGCACTGAGGAGTGGGGGCTCTTGGGGTGCAGGGAAGTGAGGGCAACCCCGGTCCAGGAGAAGGTGTGGGGTGGCCCCCTCTCACAGGCCCATGGCACTGCACAGGTGATATTCCTGGGGAGGCCAGATTCTAGGGTCCCCTGGACGTGGATGTCGGGTGTCTGTGTCAGAGCTGAAGAGGAGAGAGAAACAGACCCAGGCCCTGGATGGGGGGCCCCCGAGTGTGCCCCTCAGAGCTGTCTCTGCCCCAGGCCAGCCATAGGGGCCTGTCCTCCTAGGTCCCCTTGGGCCCCTCCCAGGATGAGAAGACAGGGGGTCCCCTCCCAGCCCTGCCCTGCGGGCCCTCAGGGCCCCTGTGTGTGTGTGTACTCTCCTTGACACCATCCTTACCTGTTACATGCAGGTGGAGCTTGTTCTCTAAATAACTATATTTCACAAAAGGCTCTCTCTCCACCCTAAAGAAGTATGTCCCCGTGTCTCCCTGCCGTGCATCTCTGATGTCCAGGGAGCAGCTGTAGGTCCAGGGGTCTCCAAGGAGGTGGAATCGGCCCTGGATGTCCGTCAGCACCTCACAATCTGGGTCGTTTGTGGCCACTGGACGATCCTGGTGGGTTCTGGCCCCTTCCTGGAACCAGTAGCCGAAAGCTGGGACAGAGTCGTCCCAGTAGTCCCTGGGACAGTGGAAGAAGCAGGGCACGCGGACACACAGGCCCTCCTGCACTGTCACGGACTCCTGCACTTCCAGCTGGTATCTCCTGTCCCGAGCCGGGGACCCTGTGGAGGAACGAGGGTCAGCTGCAGCCCCTGCCCTTCCCACCCCTCTCCCCGCAGCCCACCCACCTGCCCACAGCAGGGACAGCAGCAGCGGCAGCATCTCTGAGACAGAGGGCTTCTGGGCGTCCTGTGTGTGAAAAGAGAAGGGGAAGGAGAGAGGGAGGTAAGGCTGCGGGGAGACCCACGGGAAGCCGGGGAGGAACACGAGACCCAGCTGTTCACAGAAGAGGAACTGCAGAGCCGGAGCTCGGCGCCCCTCCGCACAGAGCGGACGGACACCCCTCGGTCTAGAGACCCCGGAGACCTGCCCAGAGAGGAGCAGGCAAGGAGGAGAGCCCTGTCCTGCCCCCGATCTCGGGTGGGTCCTTCCAGCAACAGAGCCTCTCAGGACACGGAGGCAGGCGTAGGACGCGGTGAGCCTCCTAAGGTCCTCCCGTCTGAGCGCCGCTGTCTACACCAGGGAGCCGCTCAGCTCCTCTCTTGACCTGGAGGGTCCCAGCCTCACCTAGACCCTCGGGTGGTCGGTCCTGCAAGATGTAGGGTTCTTTAGGGTCTGTGTGAGCGTCTGGGGCAGAAGACAAGAAGGGGCTCCTGGGTGACGTGAAGGCAGCAGCCAATCATGCCTTCACTCCTTCCCCCAACACTGAGCATCTTGGGCTGCTGACCTGGAGACCAGAAGGGATACGGCTGGCCTGGTCCCTGCCCAGGAGATGCTCCCACCCGGGCCCATCACTTCCTCCCCAAACAGGCAGCAGTGTCCGGGCTTTAGAGCTGCATCAGTGGTGAGATTGCCGAGTGTCCGGCAGCATACTGGGTATTTTCTTTTAATGAGTATGACTTTTTTTTAATCTAGTAAAAAAATAACTCTTTTCAAGTTGAAAACCTTGAAATTCTGTACCTACTAAACAACCAATCCTTCTTCCTTCTTCCTGCCAGCTCCTGGCAACCACAGTTCTATTTTCTCTCTCAAGGAATTTGACTCCTTTGTCTACCCCATATATGTTTAATCATGTAGTGTTTGTCTTTTTTTCACTAGGTTGTTGAACTTACTGTAATGTCCTCAAAGTTCATCCATGTGGTAGCAAGTGTCAGAAATTCCCTCCTTTTTCAGGCTGAATAATATTCCATGGTTTTGCTTATCCCTTCGTCTGTTGAGGGCAAGCTGGGTTGCTTCCATCACTTGGCTATAGTGAATAACGCTACTAGGAACACGAGTATGCAAATATCTCCTGGAGTCCCTGCTCTCAGTTCCCTTTGAGAGATATCCAGAAGTGAAAGTCAGGATCATGTGTTAATTCTATACTTAAGTTTTTGAGGAAGTGTCATACTCTTATCATCCCACCCCACCCACTTTTTTTAACCTCATCTATTGTCATCTTACACTAACTCTACAATTTAAGGTCTCTACCCTGGACCCCTCCTCTGATCCCCAGACTTTCATATCCACCTCTCTACATACATTTCTGCATCATATTTGATCCTCATTTCCCCTCACCTACAACATCCATTAGAAAATTCTGTTAGCTTGACCTTCACAACATATTCAAAACATATCCTCTCTATCTACACGATCTCCTTGGTCCACTGCACCGTCACCTCCTGCCTGGAGTACCCAGCAGGGTCCTGCCACATCTCTTTCTTGCTGCCCTGGATCCACTCTGGCTGATTCTGAACACAACAGCCTTAGGATCCTACCTCAGTGAGGGTCTAATCATATGTCCGCTCTCCTCAAAGGCTTCCAGAATCCTGCATTGGCCTGCAGTCGCCTTGCACGGGGTCTGCAGCATCCTCCCATCTTCCCCCCAATCCCTTTGCCTCCCCACACCAATATGTCACATGCTCCTGTCCTTGTGTGATTTTCCTCCAAACCTGTCAAGAGCTGACATGCTCTAATTTTACTTATCATTTATTTGAAAAGTTCTTGTCCGCGTAACGACAACCCCATGAGGACAGAAGCACTTCTCGTTTCTAAAATCACCATAAAACAAAACACCATTTGAAACCTTGTATACGGTACAATTCAATGGCACTAAGTACATTCACGACGTTAGTGCAACCGTCGCCACTCTCTATCTCCAGCACGTTCTCATCCCAAACAGAAACTCTGCTGCAGTTACACAGCACCTTCTCACCATCCCCATCCCCTAGCTGCAAGCAACGCCATTCTACTTTCTGCTTCGACGAACTTGCCTTGTAGGGAGCTCATATAAGCAGAATCAAACGATATTTGTCCCTTTGTGTCTGCTTCTTTCAGGTAGCATACTGTTTTCAAGAGTCACCGGTGTTGTAGCGTGTGTCAGAATTTGTGTTTCTTTGAAAGGCTGAATGATCCTTGATTGTATGTGTTACCACATTTGGTTCATCCATTCAGTTGCTGGACGCTGGGACTGGTTCCACCACTGCTGTGAATCTTGCTGCTATGAACAATGGCATGGAAGTTATCTGTTTGAGCCCATGCTCTTTTCAGCAACGAAGATCCATCGCCCCGCAAAAGAAATAAATAAAATAAATTTAAAATTTATAAAGTATGCTACATAATGAATATTTTAGTTAACAACTTGCAGTATACATGTGCGGGTCTGGGCTGGGAAGACAGGGGTTGAGAAGAGAGCAGAGTTGTCCCTGGAGGTGGACACATGGACACATTCACCGAGGGGGAGAAGAGGGCCCTGGGCGGAGCAGTGAGAACATGCACGCTCTCATGCGCGGTGCGCGCGGGCTTAAGCTTAATTGTGGGTTGTAGGGGGAGGTGGTAGTTGTGACTGAGATAGCCCGGCCAGGGAGACAGGAAGAGAACAAGGTGGTTACTGGTGACCCAGGTGAGAGTTTTGCCAGGCAGGGGTGGGAGAGGGCGGCAGCCAGATGGCCGGGAGCAGAGGGGTGATGCGAATGCGAGGCATTGCACTGACCGCCTTTAGCCCTCTCCTAGTTGCCACCTCCGTCAGTGCCACAGGGGAGAGCTTCCTTCCTACCTGTGCCATTTCCTTGGATGGGGCCAAAAGCCAGGTTCTGGGAGCATTTGGGATAGAGAAAGAAAATATTTTCTACTTCCATCATGGGAAGATATGGTGGCTTAACTTCTTTGGTTGGATCCACAAAAGGGTGGCGAGGTGGGGACGGTTGTGCTTTCTTCGTTCTCAGGCCGGGCTTCTGGCCACACATCAGGTCCCACAGGCTCTGCAGCTGGGTCCCTCCTCAGGGACCCAGGTGTCCTGACCACCCCCCACAGAGGATGCCAAGCCTGATGGGACCAGGCGCTCAGCCAAGCGGGGAGAGAGAGCCTGAGCTCCTAGTGTCAAGTAGCTGATTAAAGCGATGAGTCAAAATGAAAATAACAATTAAGCCTTTAATCACTTACTTGTTAAAGAACAGTGAAGCCGACTTTATTCAGGACCACTGTCACAGGTGCAGGGACCCCTGCAGTGGGGCTTTGCAGCAGGGGAAAGGGATCAGGCTCAATTCTGAATACAACGAGGAAAAGTGGGAATTTATTGCCAAGGAGCGGGGTGAGGGGTCAGCGGATGGAAAATTACTAAGAGGAAACATAGGGGCAAAGGGGATTCTGGCTAAACCGACCTACCAGGCCTCTTGCTGAAGGTAGGCCAGGGTGATCAGATATCAGCTGGCGGCTAGTGGAGAATGCGGAACCCCATCAGACATTGAGGGTAAGGGATTTTGGTTAAACTGTCTTACCAGGATTCTTGAAAAAAAAAATGGACGATGCAAAGATAGATGCAGAACTCAAGAACTTGTTGAAAAAGAGCTTCAAGAGCCTGGCTAAAATTTAGCCAAGGAGAGAACCTTTGCCGATGGTCAGGGTGACCAGCACAGACATGGGGGTCGTCTCGCGGACGCGGGACCCAGAACAAAAAGCTCTAGTGGGTCTAAGGACCCTGGGTTGGGGGTGGCGTTGGGAATGGAAATGTACTGAGTCCTGAATGAGAGTGGGGAAAAGTGTCTCCAATTTTTCCTGCTTCTCCTCTACGAGGAGGCTTCAGTGGAGATGCCTGAAGACCTCTGCCTAAGGCTTCAGATAAACAGGCCAAAGAATAAAGTCATCTGAGCTAGGAATGCAAAAATGTGAACAGCACGATGGGCCAGGGCAGTCTGAGTCCTTCACTGCAACTCCTTTCAGAGACTATAGTGCAGCACGCCCGTGAGGCCAGCCAAGGAAAGCTTTTGCATTTGCCTATGATCAGGCCTGAAAAATCACATATAGGTTTGTAGCCATGAGCTGAACTCCTCAGATGGCTCTATACATAGACCTATCACCTCCTAGGAAGGTCTCCTGACAACGTAGGGCTGGTGTCATGATCCTTTTTAAAAATTTTATTTATTTTTAAAAATATTTTTATTGGAGTTTAGTTGACACAACTAACAGTGTTGTGTTAGTTTCAGGTGTACGGCAAAGTGAATCAGTTACACATATACACATATCCTGATGTCATGATCTTGGGACCCGAACATATGGGTGAATAATAAGGAATGGGGGACCTTGGGCCCCATGGAGGAGAGAAGCATCCTCCTACTGGACTTTGGGCTGTTCAGACTCCAAAATGGTTGTACTTCAGGTTAAAGGGATGTAGATTTGGGGTATCTGGTACAAGCTGAAGAGAAAATGATTCAGACCCCAGAGGGGAGACCCTGAGACTCCACCTTGGCTTCCCCTGGGGTCCTCAACAAGTCCTCCACCCTCCAGATAAGGAGTACATGTGTTCCTGTCTCTGGGGTTCTCTCCTGGGGATCCCTGGCTACTTGTCACATTCAGATATATTGGGAGTCATTTTTCACATAATATTTCTCTACCTTAAAGTATTCCCACTTCCCTGCATCTTGGAGAATCTGATGCTTAGAAAGCAACTGTGAGTCCCTGGATCCCACAGAAGGTTGGATTGGCCCCAGATTGTTTCCTCCAGGTTTTGATGGGGTCTGTGGCCAGAAGGGGATTACAATGTCTGCTGCCCACCTCCAGGATCTGAAGGTGGATGTCGAATGGGCTAAAGTCAGTCCAGAGAATCCATGGGTTGAAATGGAGAATGGGATGGGATGCATAGGTCCTCCTTCACCCTCACTGAGTAAAGGTTACAGATCGCACCTGCGCCAACCTCCAGGGACCACTGCAGGAAACAGAGTCTCTGTCTGCAGCCCTGCCGGGAAACCTCTTCCTCACACCTGTTGCCCTCACGGTTGTGGCCACAGTGGCAGCAGCATTTCTGGGCTGCTAGATTCGCCTGACACTATCTGATTAGCCTCTCCTAGCTTGGAGATGGGGGCGGCCACGGGGTGCTAAGAGAGCTGGGGATGCTTCCTGGGTTGAAGCGTATGGCTTCTATGTCAAACTTCTCCCTTCAACAGAAATACCCATCTCTCCCTCGGGCCACTGCCGGGGGGGAAGTGAAAGCTGAGCTCTTCTCTCCTGGGACCACAGCTGGGTGGACTCTTCCTGAACCCTGAAACGCTGACTCTCGCTTCCTGAAGACCAACCCCCACTCCCCTTAAGAGACATGGGGGGTTTGGGGGTCTATTTTCCCCAGATAGGTTTCTTGGAGTCTAGACAGACGTAGATAGGGAGGCCTTTATCCTGTTCATATCAAGTCCTCAAGCCTCTCCCAATTCGCCTTCCCATCAGAACCTACCCACAGCGGGATTGCTCTTTCCAGCCAAGACACCATCTCGTCCCCAGGAAGCAGGGGGTTGTCGCTGTCCGTGGTGCTGAAGCAGTATTGGATCTTGAGTTTAGGAATAACTGGATTGTACAGAAGGGTCTGACTAGACACGAACCAGATCTGGACCTCAGGCCAGAAAACCATCTGAGGCAGAAGGACTGGGCTTGCCTAGGAAGGAGAAGATCAGGGAGGGGCTGACCCTCTGGCCTGGGGCCAATCCTGAGCCTCTCCTTCTTCCTTCTTTACTCTCTGGAAAGTCTTGTAGATTCTGCCAAGCCACTTAATCAAAGCCAGCAGCAGCTCTCCCCTCCCCCCACCCCTTCTTGTTTCATGAGAAAAATAAAGCCCTGTTTGGTTTTGG